CCCAAATTTCGTGTTCCCTGGCTCTGTGGTCCTCTAAGAACCTTGACCTCCTTTACAACAGATGCTCATTCTGTTCTGTTATTTGACTTTTGTCTCTGTCTGTCCTCATCGTGATCCCATAAATCATTCTCTACATCTTCCAGCCATTTCACTATGTTCTCTCCCACTCTGAGTCTATCTTCCGGATTACTTCCAAAATTTCCTTAGCTAACGTTTTCTGATCGATGTAATAATATTTGTCAGCCAATCCAACATTTTTCTCCTAATATACGCTATCGCATTGGTGGGTTTATATAATTCCTCCACTTCCTGGTTAGTTTCGTCACAGGATATGGCTGTTACATCTTGTTCCTCTTATCAACCTCCATAGTCAGGGAATGTGCAGCATAAAACACCGGCTGATGTTGGATTTCCATAATCTTGTCAAAGTTTTGACATCCAGTGTGAATAATTTGTTTGTGAAACAACCAAAAGTAAGAAAATGTAGGTCTCTCTAACTGCATGTTAGAAGCCGTAATGCTTTCGGAACAAATCCTGCTAAAATATGAAGGGTACAATTTTAGGAGCTACAACGCCATATATTTCTCTGGTTACTTACGTTTGATCCTGAAAATGGAGGCGATACGTTCCTCCGAAACGTCACAGACTCCCGCTGAGATATAAGACATCACAATTCAGAAGGTCGTGTTCTCTATAGTCACCGCTGACAGAAACTCAAAATAAGCATTGTTTAAAATGCTGAGTGATTCACGGCTTTATTTCGTAACTTAAAGTCGTGAGGTTATTCTGAGATGTATCAAGATGGGCATGATTCTCGACGGATACAAATCTGTTTGCTATGGAAAGTTACGATGATAACAATAGTAGAAATACTCTTATTGTAGTAAGAAATGAGACTCAATGGATGTGCATGATTTTATATGCTCTGAAATTTCACAACAAAACATGTAAAGCGACGAAAAGTGTCTTCGTAATTACTCTATGTGGCCGTATCGATAGGGCAATGGGCGAAGTATTCATATCCGCCCATCTTATGTTCAAAAACGAGATATTCACGTATTCCGACATGTCAGTGGTGAGAGAGTTGAAGTCCGGTTACCTCGGTGGCCAATCCAGGAAATCGATAAATTTCAGTGACACCAGCACATTTCAGGCAACACACCATTTCCTCCTACGCATAGTTCTGTAGCAAACCGAGCATCGTGCTCTGTTGACATAATATTACTCACTATCACTTCGGTAAATCCTCTTAAAGTCCTACATAACGTAAAGCAACATCCTGTACATTTATAAGAGAGCAATGGTACGTTTGAGGCAGCGCCATAGCTCAAGCGGTTAGTCGCTGGCTTCCCACCGCGGCGGCCCGGGTTCGAATTCGGGTCTGGTCAAGTAGGATTTGTGGTGGACAAAGGGGCGCTGGGGCGGTTTTTCTCCTAGTACTTCGATTTCCCCTGCCAATCTTCATTCCACAAAATTCTCCATCATCATAATCACCCGGAAAGGGCCAATCAATGGCCGCCGTGCCGAGTGAACCCAATTTGACTCCACCCCCAACTAAGCGAATTTAAAAATGAAATTTAATGGTACGTTTTATGAATACCAGGAACGTTCATTGGGATTAAGAGCGACCGGCGCGTAAGGCTCAAACTTTACCGCCATCTGTGAGCCGAATATCTCGAAAATGTGGGAACTTCGGCGTCTTACAAACATATGAGCCTCTACGGCCTGTTACAGGGACAACTTTAAATTTTATTTTTATCATTATGTTTATTCGGAGCAGGAGTTGCTTAAAAATTATACATTAATTCTGTGGAGTGCTGTAGTTCTTTTGCTGTAGGGTGTATGGTGCTACGGAAAATTCTGATCCTTACAGAGAGAGAATTATGGGTAATAGTTCTGAAATTAGGAAAACATCCGTGATAAATTCCGATATTATTTGTAGCAGTTACACCTCGCTGCACAGAAAAGTCATTTGGCTGTTAAAACGGGCGATTTAATAATAAACACGTCACAAATACAAAAGAGTATAGGCTTCTATTAATATTCATAGAAGTGGAATGTTTTCTTAGACTTATTCTATTTCCTTCATGATTTACGTAATTATTTTTACTGCATTATAGTTCAACCAGATACGGCACCCTATACTTAGCTCACAACTACACCACGAGCACACTGGTTCAAGTGGTAACGCCACTGGCTCCTGTTCGAATTTCAGTCGAGGTACTATTTATTCCTCGGTGTCTGTGTTCGGATAAACGGGGTAAAGCTATCTCTCTAACAGGCCGTGGAGGCCCATTATGTCGAGGTTCCCACATTTTCTCTAGACAATCAGCTCGCAGATGGCGGTGAGGTTTTCAGCCTTACGCGCCGGCCGCCCTTTACCCCCTGGAAAATTCTTGGTACTCATTTCTGTTAGAAGCTGAGTCGACCCCAGGGACAGAGTGCGGTTGGAAGGATTAGGATAATTGAAAAATCCAATGACGTCACCGGGAATCGAACCCGCTACATTCCGGCTTGTAGTATAGTGCCTCAACCAACTACGCTACCGCGTAGAATGTTGGGATAGTTCATCATATTAACTGATTAATCAATTAATTAATACATCCAATACGTAGGCAGTTCAACGCTCCACGTACAAAGCAGCACATCGAAACGCCACCTTTTCGACACCTGGAAAAGTAAGTACGAGGCAGTAACATGCAATGTAGCACGATAAACTGTAATTATCTCAATTGCAATATATATA